TTAGAGAAAGTTCAGAGAAACTTGAAAACATTTGCAAAATCAGCTCTGAGTGACTTCATGTTTTCTTACCTGCATTATATCTTTTTCTATTGAAGGCCAAATTTGGCCTGTGGGTGGTAGTTTCATTTACTCCTGCCCTAGATCAATGAAAGTCAATCACAGATACTTAGGATACAAAGACAGTTTAAAAGAGCATCCTGTTTATTACAGAAAAGACAAATGAAAACCATATATATATATATATTTTTCTATGTACATCGTGAAGGCAAGACCCTATGCAAACAGAGAGCTCTCCATGCACTTTTCAAACATATTTTGAAAAGAATTCACATTTCCCTTAATACTATATTGAACTTAGTTTTTTCTCACAACTATGGTGCTCAGGACGTTCTTTCTAAACTTAAGTTTTTCCTGATAACTTTAAGCTTACTCCCTCTTACCAGTCTTTCATAACAGTAAGAACAGCTAGAGTGCAGATAGGACTCTTTTATGCATATATATGTGCAAACACACATGTATTTTAGAGGGATGTCTTTGGATTCAACAATCCAATTCTGTAGAGCATAAAACCTGAATCATTTCTGAGATTTTCTCCTCCAGAACGACCTATTAGTTAGGAGAAGGATAGGCTGAATCAGGTTAATGTACTGTCGATCTCCAAAGCTCATTTTCCCACCAAGTTTTGCAAATATAACAATCTGCCCAAATCAGGAAACAGTTTCTTTCAAAGGTGGCTTAGAGTTAAGACAATCACAGTTTTTTTTTTTTGCCAAAAAACTGGGACATTTTGAGAGTGACATAAGTATGCCAGAACAACAGGTATAAACCATAACATTTAGTCATCTTACTTATAGTTCCCCCATAGAGGAAATGCTTTAAACTTCCCCAAGATGAGATGAATTTCTACGCTTGTTCTTGATGCAGGATTTTTCAGCAGTCTAGCATTCAGTCTCAAGGTATAACTTTGGTCTCAAGCCTCCAAATCTTCTCAGGGAAAACATCAGGAACAGCTTTTTGGCTAGGATAATTGCACAACACTTGAAAGGGGCTACTGAGGGAGAGAAGCTAGAATTATTAAATGGGGTCTGGGGGCGCTTGAGAAAACAGTAGGTAATTGTTTATCTCAAAATCGTCTCACTGGGGTTGGATAAGATGATCTATTCAAGTTCTCTTTGGAAAAAATAATAATTGTGTGCACAGTAGTTGGTTTTAAGATATCAGTTTCTTTTCTACTAGCAAACATGGCAGGTGAAAACACCAGATTATAGCACTTATCTAAAGAAAGGGGCCCCAAAGACCACATTCCTTAGCAGAATCCTATGAATCATGCGGGTAATGGCAGATTGGAGGGAAGAGAGACAAAGAAGGTCCTCACCCCTACCTGGGCCAGCATAGAAAAGGTTGTACCATCACTAAAAGCAGTTTCCCCAACCCTTCACACTCACGCTGACCACACCCAGACCATATTTCCCCAGGTTGTGATGTGCTTACTGCTGCAAAAGGCCAGTATTACTTGAGAATATTGGAATGTTCATCTCTGCCTAACAAGAAATTTTCTTAACAGAAAAAGCGTGGAGTTAAAGGTAGCCCCAAGTGAACCAGTCTTATCCAATGCTCTTTGTTTTGTTTTCAATCAGTTCTGGAAAACCCAACAGGTTCTTTGTGCCAAACCCTATGACCTTGGATTTTAAAAGGTGCTCTGGCTGAGAAACTATCAATTAGGGAGCTGGTAGGCAATTTTTCAGATGAAGTAAAAAGAAAATATAAAATAAAAATTAAAATATCCAAATCTGAAATTTCTATGATGGGAAAAACAAGGAAGCCAAAATGACCTACTCCTCAGTGAGTCATTCCCCTTCCCTATCACCCACCACCCACTTTGTTCTTTCTCTCCTTTTGTTTACTGTGAGCAGGAACACTTAAATCATGTTTGTGCTACCAGATAAATAAGTTTAAATATAATATAACAGAGTCAAAGGCCAACTGGAGTCTTCTCTTCTCCCCCTTACTAAGGGATTTACAGATGAAAAAATTAGCTAGAACTGGACTTAGGAACAGAGAAACTGCAATCAAATGCTCCTTTGGTTAAGCCAGTCCCTCCCCTAAGCAAATACTTCAGTAAGACCAGGACCTCCACAGTGATTGTGTCAGGGATTCATGGGTACATCTTTGAGTGTTTTAAATCCAGCACTTAACTGCTTTTTCTCATCTTTCTTCCCCTCACTTCTAAATACAGGTGACACCACCACACCTTTAATTCTCTTTGCTCTCTGAGTAGCTTACAGGTAGTCAGAAGATTGTGTAAAAAAGAAAAAGAGGGAAGAGAGACTGAGTAAAACAGAAAGCAGCAGTGTTTTTCAGTTGTTTGACTTGGGCAACAGGGTGTTATAGGTTTGTGTGTGTGTGTGTGTGTGTGTGTGTGTGTGTGTGTGTGTGTAAAAGCACTGATGCATTGAAGATTTATTCATTGAACAGGTTGATTTATTTAACAGACTTGACATATGTCAAATTCTGCCATGTGCTTACATAATTGTTACCCATTTATCCGAGCTGTAATTTAGACAAATATTTGTTTTAAAAGTATTTTCTTTTAAATGACTCTCTCTCTAGCCTATTGAGCAATCAATCCATGTTTAATTTTAATGATGTTATCAATAGCTATTTGGTGGGAATCTGTGAAATCTAATCTTTCCCCCGCAAACTCTATTCCCTTTTTTCCCTAGTAATAACTTTTATGTTAAAATCATACCATAGTTAAAATTTTAAAAACATACACAATATCCTTTTTTGTTAAGATATTTTGTACTTCTAATTTTCAATAAAATTCCAGTTTCTTGATATATTATTAAAATCACAGATCTGAATGTGAAAAACTGACCAAAAGGACAAAAGGGTGTGATTATTTTAGTGTACGTCTGGGAGAATGGAGGGCAGTTAGAACAGCTAGGGGAGAACTAGGAAGAGAATTAGGTAGAATTAGAAAAATTAAATGGAGTCAAATTTCAAGTCTTACAAATTTCACTGAATCACCCTACCCTATCTTAACACATGTGCATGAAATTATATCTTTTTAACTCAAATACATGCAATCTATCTAGGTTCTGTGGGAGATGGAATATTGGAAAGTATTTCTAAGAAATAAAAATCTAATCACTAGCTGCCAGGGCTGGTTTGGGCTCTTCTATTGTATATGCATTTGCAAAAACAAGAGGCTCATTCTGACCTCCTAGGTCAAGGAGTATGGGGACTAAGAAAGGTATGAGGGTGGGGTGGGAGGGAAATCCCACCACCACACAAGTAAAATTTTTGACCTAGTAAGCAAATACGTTTTTGTTGTTACTGCTGGGTAAAATGTACAAGTCTTCCAGAAATTAGACACTGTAATAAAAATGTACCAGCCCAAATTTAAATTGCTCACTAGACAGATGGTTAATTATATTCACAGCCACATATTTCACTGGGATAGAGTTTCAGACACTCAGCCAGTTTTATTTGATTAGCCGGTTTCCCGGTTAATATGTAAAATGACAGTTACTTAGGGCTTTTTTGTTCCCTTCTAAAAATATATTTTCAATAAGTGTAAATTCTCTCTCTCGCCTTGAGAACGTCACTGCTGTAAATAAAACGTTTGTTCATATGTCACCCATGTGTAAAATATGTAAGGGAGATTCGCTCCCCCAAACCCGGATTGTCTCTAGTAGTTCTGAGAAGATCATCGGAGCACCTTTTCTCACCAAGCAAAATATTCCAGGAACTGTCAGCACTCTCCACCTAAAACAACTGAAAATTTCAAATCCCGGGGCTGAAAAGCTTTAGATGCTTTTTTAAACAGCCCTGCTAGTCCTACACACAAATCATGTCTTTTCAAGATAATAGTCTAGAAAATGGAACGTTAGAAAAAGGCCACATAGCCAAGTGTACTGCTGTGTACAGAATCCAACAATATGCTGGGAGCCAAAACCCAGAAGCAAAATACGAGACCCACTTATTCCAAAAAGCAACCTGAACCTCTACAAAACCAAGAGTGCGGGTGTCGAAATGGGGATGCCAATTTTTTTTTTTTTTTAACTTCGAAAAAGATAGAAAACCTTGCGCGGGTGATTCGGTCCCTCACGAATCAGACAGACAGAAGCAGTCATGCTGAAACCACTGGATTCCTCAGCTGAACGGCGCCAACTCAGCGGCGCGGTTTCCACACTTTCCCAGAGTGGGGCCCCGCTCTTCGGTCTCCCCGCCCCACAGGGTGTATGAGATCTGGGGACGTGTGCCTCTGGGCGCGGCAGGGAGAAGCTCCAGAAGCCATGCAGGAAGGCGTCAATTCGACCGCTTCCGAGAGCGGGAAGGGGCCGCGGGCCAATTTCCGCAGAGGTGACAAGCTGGGCGAGGCTCAGTCCAGCCTCCGACGTGTACCCGCCTGTGGCCCTAGATGGGTGGTGCATGCCCTGGGGCACTCTGTGATAGCCACAGCCGCCCGGAGCGCAGGGGAGCCGCCGGCGGGGGAGGCGCCTGCGACGCGGCTTCGCACCTTTGCGGCTTTGGCCCGGGCGCCAGCCACGGCCGCCGCGTGGGTTTTCCCGCTCGCGCCGAAGCCTGTCATGTTGGTGCCCCATCCCGTGCCCCATCCCCTGACCAGTGTCTCCCAGGCACCAACCCGAAGGGAGGCAATACTCTGCTGGTTCCTGCTGCCCTGCTGTGTGCGTGTGAGCGCGGCGGCTCCGGCCCGCTTGCTTCCCCTCCCCCCGGTGCAAGCACAGAGGCCTTTCCTAGATTGCAGTGCCTGTCAGGGCGAGCCGGGATCTCTGGCCCTCCCGGCCTCTCTGCCTTGTAGACAGATACACACATGCACGCCATTCACACACAGATGTCCTCCCTTCCGTTTTCCCTTCCTCCTCTTCTCGCTCGGCTTCCCCCAATTCGTTCCACCCCTGCCGCCACCACCCAGAGCCGGCTGGGGAGCCGGCGAGAAGGCCAGGGGGCTGGTTGGCAGCGCTCATACTCACCTCACAGGCCGACTCCCGAGGCGCACGTCGCTGGCGGGCTCAGGCAGCAGGCGCTGGAGCTGGCGCGGCCACAGTCAAGGCTGGGCTGCCACCGTCGCCGCAGCTGTTCGAGCTGCCGCCGCTGCTACTGCTACTGCTGCCGCCGTCGCCGCCTCCTCTGCCTCAGCTCCATGCGCCGGGCCCGCCAGGTGGACGCGCCTCTCTCCGTCGCTCGCTGGTTCCCTCAGGTTTCACCGCCGCCGCGGTGCTAGATGGAGTCAGAGCTGTTGGGCTCTGGCTCTGAAACTCAGAGCCTCAGCTGCTGCCCGGCTGCTCCCAAGGTCCGCGCTTCGCCTGCACCACCGCTTGCTCCGGCTGGGGCTACCTCGCTAGCGGGCTGCTAGCGCTGCGCCCCGAACCAGGAGCCCGCTCTGTGCGGTGGCTGCTGCGGTCCGCAAGAGCTCGAGAGAAGGAGGGCGGCTGCTACTGCCGCTATCACTGTTAAAGCTATTACTAAATGCTGCTACTGCCGCTACTGCTACTGCTGTGGTGGTGGCGGCGGCGGCTGCTGCTGATGCTACTGGTTTTCCTTCTCGGGTTCTCCCCCTGCCTTGTCCCCCCTCCTCCTCCTCCTCCTCCTCCTCCCCACAACAGGGACAGCTCCCTCCTCCTCCTCCTCCTCCTCCTCCTCCTCACAGGAGGTGAGATGACGCTTTTCTCAGAGCCTCTGCGGGCGCTGCCTGATCCCCTCTTCTCCCAGAGCTGCCTCTGCCCATTCAGAAAGGTGCCCAGAGTGGGGCTGCCTCGGCTGCCACCATCGCTATTGCCCCTGCCATTGTTTCCTCCAACACGGCTGTTCTTGCTGGACGCGTTCCCCCCTACCCTCCTTCCCCACCACAGCCCTCCCTTTTCCTCCCGCTGTCTCCTTACCCTCTCTACAGTCCCTTCCCCATGGGCCCCCTCCCACTCTGTCTGTCTGTCCCTCCCTCTCCTCCCCTTAGGCGCCCGGGAGCGCGCACTGCGCGGCCACCTGTCATAAAGGGCGCGCACCCCCC